AAGGGGATCCAGATGTGAGCTGCTTTCTCTGATGCATTTTTCCATTTGTGTAAAGAAAATAAAACAAAGAGAAAAGAAAACAAGCTGTAAAATACTTTGCAGAAGTCTGATCATGGGCAATTGTCACTTGATGTCCCCTGACAGCTCTGAGAAGCTGGGGGAGGGAGGAGAGCCCTGCTTTTTGATGTTGGCCTCTGAGTTTTCTTTTGTGTGACCACTTGTTTGGGGAGAACCTTTTGTTGGCGTGAGGTGTGTATGGAAAAGACATTCCAGCCCCAGTTTCCCCTTTGGGTGGGGAAGAGAGGGGCCTCTCTCCCAGGAGGGGCCCAGAGGCCAGCTGGGGGTTTCATTAGGGCTGAATCTTCTTTTATATAGGACACTGGATAAGCATCTGTCTCCAAGGGCTGAAAGATGCTACTAGGAAACGTTTCCTGATACAAAGGAAGCTTGGAAGAAATAAGACTCCACTAATCCTTCCAGCCTTAGACAGGTGTGCCAGGGCTTGAGGGTTCTGTGCTTGTGGATTAGATCTTGGTTCAGGGGCCCATCTATTACTTGCAGTGATGTGTAGATCCTTTCCTGGGACAGGGGTTGCTGGAAGATTATAGTCCTTCACTTACCAGCTCCTTGGTCCTGGGCTGGCTGGTCACTTTATGTCTCTTGAGCAGTTCCTCTATACTACTTGTTTGGCTGAGCGAGTCCAAAGAGACATTGAGGATGTAGTTAAGGGCAACAGGCGTTATGCAGAGGGCAGGATGGGGCTGTAGCTGGCTTTTCTTTGTGCCTGGCTGAGTTCAGTACTTGGAGATACTTGCTGAGGACACTTAGTAAGGCTCTTAGGAGTTGGGGTTATCCTCTGATCTAATCTGGCTTCCAGACTTCAGGGTGTGAGCTGTTATAGCCTCTCCTCTAAAGCCCTCCTGCATTTTTACTTGTCAGTGAGTACTAATGAGAGATTTGGGTTTGACTCTAGAAAGAACATAGAAAGAAACATATGTCAGCCGCTAGTGGCTCATACTTGTGTTCCTAGCTACTCAGGAGACTGATGTATGAGGATCCCAGTTTGAAGTCAGCCCAGGCATGAAAGTCCATGTTATCTTTAGTTAATTGCCAACCCCTCCTCCCCCAGGAAATGGAGGCATGGCTCAAGTTGTAGAGTACCAGCCTTGAGCAAAAGGCAGAGCAGAGGCCCTGAATTTAAGCCCTCTTACACACACCCACACCCACACACACAAAGCATCAGAAAGAAAAAATGATTTAAATTTTTAAAAATCATGCATAGAAATAGCATATAAGAAACTAGTACAAATATTTGTAACACTTTGTGGTAGGAAAGGCAAATATTTTTTCTAGCCAATCAGAGACAAATGCTAGAAAACAGACAAAATCCTACCTTATATGAAAAAAAAAATACTGGGCAAATGGCATGAACAGGCAATACACAGAAATAGAAATAGACACATGGAGAAATGCCCAGTCTCCTAAGTAATCAAAGACATGCAAATTAAAATCATGTGCCTGGTTTTTTTTTTTTTTCAGCCAGACAAATTGGCAAAGATTTTTTTTTAAAAAAGAAAAAGAATGCTGATACCAAATGTGTATTGTTATTTTTTTCAAGGGTGGGGTGAAATAAGAGCTGTCACTTCCTGCTGGTGGGAGGGGAAGCCAATTCAGCCTTTCTCTGGGCTACTTGGCAACTTGGTGATTTGTATCACCAAACAAAAACACGTACAGTAAATCAAAATGTGACCTAGAATTTTGCCTTGAGGAATGGACTTTACTTTTGTAAATTAGACTAGGGTATGTTGTGTGTTCAAAGGTGTGTCTGAAAGGATTACCATTAAGTCTGTGGTGGTCACAATTATCTTGTTGCTTCTGTTTTTTTTTTTTTTTTTTTTTGAGTCTGGTCGTGGGGCCTGAACTCTGGGCCTGGGCACTGTCCTTCAGCTCTTCAGCTCAAGGCTAGCGCTCTACCACTTGAGCCACAGCGCCACTTCTCGCTTTTTTCTTTTTGCTTATGTGATGCTGAGGAATCGAACCCAGGGCCTCATGCATGCAAGGCAAGCACTCTACCACTGAGCCACATTCCCAGCCCTGTTGCTTCTAACTGTGACAAACTAGGAACTTCCTGGGTGATCCATCACTGGGGGAGTGGACTACAGTTAAATGCACCTACTTCAGATTGCAAGCACCTTGGAGCTTGAATTACACTCATACCATACAGTACCAGGTTTAAAAGTAATTGTGACCAGCTAGGCACTGGTGGTTTAGTGCCTGTAATCCTACCAACTCAGGAGGGTAAGATCTGAAGATTATAACTCTAAGGCAGACAGAGCTGAGAGACCCACTCTTCTCTCTAACCAGCGAAAACTTGGAATTGAGTGTCGTTCAGTGGTAGAATGCCAGCCTTGAGCAAAAAATCCAAGCTTTTTAAAAAATATTTTTAAATATTTATTTTGCATATATATTATATGATACATAATCTATATTTACCATATATATGGCAAATGATATTTAACACAAAAATTCTGAAAAATAACAGTCTACAAAACTGAAGGTAGATAGGTGTAATCCATGTTTTTAGGAAAGAAATCATGCCAGTGCTGAACACAGGCTAAGGAAGTCTGCAAGGAAAAGCCCTGAGTACACATTGGCTGGTGGAAAGAGGAGTATGCCTTTTCTCTTTCTGCATCTGTTTTTCAAGTACGTGACATTTATTTTGAGATTCCATGAAATGCAGTTTCGAACACACAAACAGCATAAGTGTAGAATAAGCAGTGAAATATAATCAAGGTATGTAATAAGCATGGATGGAAATTTTACAATGGAACCTATGTTTTGTAAGATTGCTTAAAAAGAGGGAGGCAGGGTGTATCTGAGTGTGAACATAGGTAATGAGATCTAAACTGGGGTTATCGTGGAGGTGGAAGCCCAAAGAAGGCAGGTTGGCAGGAGATCATAGAAGAAGTAAAAAGAACTGTGTGGGGTCATTCAGCCATCCAGGGGATGGGGGAAGTAGACCTAGAAAGGACCCTGAAACTAAGATACTGGGAGCATGGGAAGGATGCAGCCGGATGGAGAAAGGATGTCTGTGGAAGGACTGACCTTCACATGTAGGCAATGGATGGGGCAAGTGGGAGCCACAGGCTTGGCAGGCTCTTGAAACTTCCCAGAGTTTGGAACAACTGTAGCAGGAGGGAGTAATGGGAAAACAGAGCTGAGGTTGGACCAGGTGTATCTTCCTTAGAGTCCCAAGGCCATGCTGGATAATTTCAGCTTTATCCCCATGGTCATTCAGATTGGTCCTTAGAAATTCAGTTCTGCGGGCTGGGAAGGTGGCTCAGTGGTAGAGTGCTTGCCTTGCATGCATGAGGCCCTGGGTTCGATTCCTCAGCACCACATAAGCAAAAAGAAAAAAGCCGGAAGTGGCGCTGTGGCTCAAGTGGTAGAGCGCTAGCCTTGAGCTGAAGAGCTGAGGGACATGCCCAGGCCCAGAGTTCAGGCCCCACGACCAGATCCAAAAAAAAAAAAAAAAAAAAAAATTCAGCTCTGCTTATAGTTGGCTCTATCTAGAAAGAATTGGTTTCAGGATTACTATAAATTCCCAAATCCATGGATGCTCAAGTTCCTCCATAAAACAGCATAGTATTTGCAAGTAACCTACATTCTAGGTTCCTTATAATGCCTAAGGCAAGTGCTGTGATAATAGTTTTATATTATTTAGGGAATAATAAGAAGGGGGGAAAAGTATTTCAGAGCTGGGCACTGGTGGCTCATGCCTGTAATGGTTTGAAACCACCTGCGGCAGGAAAGTCTGTGAAACCCTTATCTCCAAAAAAAATGGCACTATGGCTCAAAGTGGTAGAACTCTAGCCTTGAGCAAAAAAGCTCAGGGATGGTGCCTAGGCTCTGAGTTCAAGCCCCACAACTGATCCCCCCCTCAAAAAAAAAAGCATTGCAGTAGATTACATTTTGTTTTGTTTTTTCTTTTCTTTTCTGAATATTGTAGATCCATGGTTGATTGAATCTGAGGATAGGGAACTGGCAGATACAGGGGATGACTGTGTTGGGTGGGTGATTGGAAGCTTAATGGTAGAGAGGGCACCTTTCTCTGGAGCCAAGAGGAGGCTACAGACTTGCAGCTGGAAATAGGGATTAGTGGGTTGGGAGCACAGAGTTGGAGAGGGGCACAGGAAAGCCCCCTGAGAGTGTCATGGTGAGCTGGGAAAGCCACACGTGTAGGCACGTAATAGGCATGGGGAAGTGGGCCTGGCAGGAAGAAAAGCCAGAGGGAACAAAGTTGTTGGTCCAGAGACCAGGACTGTAGACCTTTAGGAGAAAGGAAGGCATCCAGGTTGGTAGTGGGAAGGAGAAGGGGCAGTGGCATGAGAAAGGGAGCAAGGAAGGTGCAGGTTGGTATATGTGACTCCAGGAAACTAGAGTGTGGAAGGGTGGAAGCAAAGGCCTTGCAAGTAGCCATGAGGCTGCCCCAGTGTGTGTATGATGGGCCGGGGGCGGGGCGGGGGGGGGGAGGAGGAGTGTGATGGTAGTAATGTTTATTTCAATTAGAAGTTCAAGATCACGGCGTCAACAGGGCTAGCTTCTCCTGTAGCCTCTGTCCTTGCTCATGGATGACCGCCTCTCAGCAGGTCTTCCCTGTGTGTGTACACTGTCACGGAGCCTCCCTGTGCCCACATTTTCTCCTGTGCAGACAGATGCCTTGAAGGCAGACCCAACCTTAGGATCCATTTTAACTCTGTCACCTCATTAAAGACCTTTCTGACTAATGATGGGATGGTGGGAGGGTTAGGACTGTTATACAAGAATTTGGGGACCTCCAGCCATGGCACCGTGAAGATATCAATCAGTGTTTATGAGTACAAACAGGGGAGCCAAGAAAAAAAACTCCTGGGGTGAGGGGGACAAAATGTCTTGGCCCTTAGAGTGTCTGCCCTCCCTGTACCCTGGCTGATGGTCTCCCTGCCCTGTCTTCCCTGCAGCCTGCAACTGTAACCTGCATGCCCGGCGCTGCCGCTTCAACATGGAGCTGTATAAGCTATCGGGGCGCAAGAGCGGGGGTGTCTGCCTCAACTGCCGTCACAACACTGCTGGCCGCCACTGCCACTACTGCAAGGAGGGCTTCTACCGGGACATGGGCAAGCCCATTACTCACCGGAAGGCCTGCAAAGGTAGGCTGTTAGGGACACGGGGGACCCTACGCTTTCCTCTCCTCTCCTTTTCTGCTTTTTTCCTAGTTCCTATACAGAGCAGCACAGACTGAGGTCTTTGAACATGCGCAAGTATGCGCACGCACAGCCTCCTTGGTATGTGGAGGTGTAAGCCAAAACAAAGGGGCAATGGAGACATGGCTCAAAGGAGAAGAAAGGAGAAGGTGTGATCTCTTGTGAGGGTGAAGGCCCAGCCCACAACACCTCCCATTCTGCTCCCCCTCCTTGGCTTCTCTGCACAGGTGTGCTGCATACCACAGGGACTCCAGTCATGCTCACCAGGCTTACCATCGGGACAAAGGACCCTCTTTTCCCAAACCCCACGTAGACATACTTCTTTGGATGTGTGCACCCCATCCCCACCCCCATATCACACACACACACACACACACACACGCATGCACGCACGCATGCACGCACACACACACACACACACACACACACACACACACACACAGTGTCAGAATGAGGTTGGCAGTTTCAGGATCAGAGTCTCAGAAGGAACATTTAATCCATCTGCAAATAGCTTTGCTTTTCAGGACAAAAAAAAAAAAAAAGGAAAAAAAGAAAGAAAAGGAGACCAGAGACTCTATCTTTGTTCACTGAAGCAAAGACTAATGTTTTAACTTTTCTTGCTGTTTGTTTTTCTCCCACCAACAAAAATGAAGCAATGGTCAAATGACTCAGAGGAGCTGATGAACTACTAGGGACTTGAGCGATGGTGGTAGGTGAAAAATGGGGCCTCTTCCCCACATTTGCTTTTGGGAACTCCAGGATCCAGGGCTTTCCTCCTTCAAAGGTTGGGGCCCATAGATAGACTAGGGCTTGCTTATGTATGCTACTCAAGATGTTTACCTTGGAGTGCTCCTACAGGGGGATCTCAGCATATATGGGGTCCTAATATGGTTTTCTCAAGTTATGGCAGAACTAGGTCCAAGTAAAGAAACCTACCTTTCCAGCCACTGCTCAGCCTGTGTGTGTGTGTGTGTGTGTGTGTGTGTGTATGTGTGTGTGTGTGTGGTTTCACCTCAGGACCTTGTGCATATTAAGTAGGCTCCTGAGCTATGTTCCCACCTGCTTTTTGCTTCAGATGTTTTTTTCAGATGGGGTCTTCAGTTTTTGCTTAGGGCTACTCTTATATTCTAATCCTTCTACTTTGTTGTAGCTGGGGGGTTGTGGATATGAACCACCATGACTGGCTTTTTTTTTTGCCTGAAGTGCCCTGTGATCTTCCCCAATCTCTGCCTCCCAAGTAGCTGGGATTATAGCCACTCCATTGGGCCCCACTGCTCAGCTTTTGAATGAAGCAGAAGGATCGTCTTCATAACAGGAAATCCACCAGATGTTGGGCACTTAAGTGCCTGACTGACGACATCAGTTTCTGGGCCCAGTACAAAATGAAAATATGGAGTTCTTTGTCCAGAAACGAGGAAGGATTTCAAAAGAGTGACAACAGAGCTTCAACCCTGAGCATGGGGACCTGGCTAGCTGGGCCTGTGCAGAACACTTCCAAAAATCAACAACAAACAATGGCCATCAAAAACTTCGCCAGGTTAGGGGGTCCCAAAGAGTAATCTGATTCTTCCTCCTTATCATTGCCTCTGGTGGTTGGCAAGAAAAATTTGAGCATAAAGTTTTCCTAATTTGGAAGCGTTTTTTTATTTGAAAGTCAACTGTTCTAGGTGAGGAATCCCCTAGGAGACTTAAGAATGGGAAGGTGGCCCAAGCAAAGGGACCCGAGAAAGATCTGCATTGTCAGGAACATTTAAGCAGGGTAAGACCAGAGGGACTCCTTTGGGTTTTCAGAGAACATAGTTGGAAGGTGTCCAACTCCTTTGCTTGCTGCCCAAAGTGTTTGTTGTTCTTCTTTTACAGAAGAAATGGAGGCCAGGGGTCTTGTAAACAGCTGGCTTACACATACATTTCTTGGGGATTTGGCCAAGAAGTTTGAATCCACAGCAGTCACTCAGGTGGGCAGTCCTCTGCCTGTGGGTAAGAAGATCTGGGCTGTACATGGAAGGACACTGGTTATTTCCTGCCCTACCACTTCCTGCTATTGGAAGAGAATTGCTCGGCTTCCTTTGTTCGTTTCTAGAGGGGACAGATTTGGGTAGATGAGAGGGCATTCCTCTTCTATGATATCAAATGCTAGGACCAGTCCTGAGCAGCAGCTGTCCCCAGACTTGGTAGGAATCCTGAGAAAAGAACTTGGGGAAAGAAAAATCTAAAGATGGATTCAGCCCAAGGAGGCACAATCATGACCTGCTTGGGAATTATTGCAGGAAAGGATGTCTTTTAATTAGAGAAGACTGTTTCAAGGAACCTGCCACCTGATTGATGGGGAAAGACCAATGTTTTTTTTTTGGGGGGGGGGTCCGGTCGTGGGGCCTGAACTCTGGGCCTGGACGCTGTCCCTCGGCTCTTCAGCTCAAGGCTAGCGTTCTACCACTTGAGCCACAGCACCACTTCTGGCTTTTTTCTTTTTGCTTATGTGGTGCTGAGGAATTGAACCCAGGGCCTCATGCATGCAAAGCAAGCGCTCTACCACTGAGCCACCTTCCCAGCCTGAGACCAATGTTTTAATGATACTGTTTCCTGATTGCTGAGGGAAAACATAGCCTGCTTCATGATTGGTGAGAAAAGATCTGTTCTAGTAAGGAACCAAAATCTAACTGGTGTCTCATACCTGTACAATAATCCTAGCTACTCGGGAGGCTGAGATCACAGGATTGTGGTTCAGAGGCAACTTGGGCAGGAAATGTCCCTGAGACTCTTATCTTCAGTTCACTACCAAAACTGGAAGTGGAGCTGTGGTTCAAGTGGTAGAGTGCTAACCTTAAGCACAAAAGGTCAAGGACAGCACCTAGACCCTGAGGATACACACATACACGCGTGCGCACGTGCACGCACGCGCGCACACACACACACACACAAGCATACGCATGCATGCATGTACTCCCCCACCCCTCCCCATATGAAAGGTCCAGCCATCTAATTGGTGAAGAAAGATACCGCTTGAAGCTTCCAAATCTTTCCCCTTTGCTCTTCCCTTAACTAATGTCACTTCTTTAGTTGAGGTGGGCACTTTAAGGGACACACTTCTTACCAAAATAGCCTCTAAGATCTTGGTGGGAAGCAGTTTTAGGAGATGTTCAGAGGCTGGTTAGGGGAATGTATACCCCTGAGATCTTCACACAGTAGTCTCCTGATCACCACCACCATGACTACAGAAGCTTTCTGTCTTATCTTGAGGAGCTATACGGTTTAGGCAACGCTTTCTTTCATGGAAGCTTGTTGGCTCCATCATTGTGCCAACGGAGCTTTGACAGTTTGTTCTCAGAGGCTTTCAATCTTATATATGTAACTTTGGCCCTAGCCCCAGTTCCTGAGATTGATCTCAGGAAACCCCCTCAATGACCTTCAGGTGAAGACTGCACTGTTATGCATTGTTTCAGACAATTTTCATAGAGGAATCGGGACCACTGGCTCTTGGATGCCTAAGTTGGCTTGGGAATGGTCCTAGGGTTCTCTTTATTCCTTGACTTCTCAGGTCCTGGGAGGGGCCCCAGGCCACCCATACACTCTGGTGATTGGCTGACTCAAGACCTTGTTCAATGTAGAGCAGGGGTGGACCCAGACAAGAACAGCTTGGAGTAAGGGCATTTGATTCCAAATGTTATTATGCAGCCTCCCCATTTGGGAAGTTTCATAGCAACAAATTTGTTGGGTTCTTTCTCCCCTCCCCTAGTTTATAAGCAAACTGGAGCTGGCAGGGTTGGTGCATACAAAGGGCTGTAATAAACATGCCCAGGGAACAGCCGCTGCACTCTCCAGCTATTCAGTGCAATTTCACAGCACTAGGATGGCCTCATTATGGTGTGGGCTCTTGTCCTATACAAAGTCAGATGAGATGAATTTCTCCCCTTTCTCCACAGAATGGTTTGTGAATGATGCTCGTCCTGGAATCTGTCAAAAGATTGGAGGTTTTGTTTACCATTTGTCTTCTTTATGGACTTTGGAGGCTCTTTCTTTTTAGAGCCTGCAAAGAAGACGTTGCTATTTAACCATTTCAGCCATGTCACCATTGATAACAATATTAATTTATCATCTTCCCAAACCATCTGTGATGGATAAAGACATTCCAAGAGTCTCCCGTGAACCGCATTACGATGAGAATTAAGAAATTACCCACCGCATCTAGCATCCCCGTACAAAGGGCTGCGTTCCATCTCACTGAGCAGCCTCTTTTGCTCACTCATTGCCCTGCCCCCTTCAAGTCTGCAGTGAATGTGGCTGAATGAAGGCTACTAAGAAGGTGCCTGAGCCCTAAGAAGATGCAATCATTAGCAGGGCAGAGCCTAGGTCTGTCCCCACTGTCTTTGCCGGCCATTCCTACGGCTCCCCATCCATTCTTTATTTTCTGAGGTAGCTCTGCTAAGGTTTGGTGTGGGAAGTCAGCACTCCTGTCTAGCCCCCTCTGTCTTCCAGAGCTACTGTGTGGAACCTCCACTTTGCTTTTATTTTGGTGCATCTTTACTGTGTTCCCTGAGTGATGGGACAGTCTTTATCTATGGATATGGCTCATGTTCAGAGTCTGTACGGCATTGGGCCAATCACAGGCCTTCCTCAGGCCTCTCTGTCTTCTCACTTGTAGAATTCAGGTTATTGGTTGCTGAGTCCCTCCTGACTTTGACATTCCACAGGATACATGTTGTTCTTACAGAGTTAGAATATCCTGGGTCCCTGAAAACAGCATGTAGCCATATTTACGATCTGGTGACTTGGAATTGCTGGTAAAGCCAGAAAAATCAAGTGAAGGCAGCTTTGTTTTACAAAAAAAATCTTTACAAATGAAGACTGTCTCAGTTCTGTGATTTGGCCCACATAATGCACTGGGCTAACACAGTGTCTTCCTAGCTTAGCACTGTGGCTCATCCCTGGCCATTCTGCGGTTTCACTTC